ACCAAACTGATCACATATAGCATTATGCAGTGCAGAACTCTCATCTTCACTTGATGTTGCATGGCAGAGGGAATATCTGTGGTGAGGAAATGCTTAAAGATGGCCCACACGCAGAGTCCTAGGTGAAAGATCAGCAGACCCAGAAGCAGCACAAGCAACAGCATACCCATTGTTTGAGGCTAAGGGCCGTTACAACCAGCCTGGCATTGTGTGAAGAGGACATGGTAGTTTATATGGGCTCTGTCTCCACCCACTTTTTCTGTGCCACGTCTGACACAGTGGTCTGACCTGGGCTCTTTGGTGTCAGCTTGGCAGTGGGAGTTGGAGAACTCTGTTCCTTAAGCCTCTTAGGGGGCAGGAAAGCCCATCCTGCACACTGGGGGTAATTTGGGATGTCACACAGGTGTGATCTCATTTTGGCAAAGATCATAAGACATTGCTGATGTTCTCTTCTCTCTGTCACAAGCACCATCCCTGTTACACATACACAAAAGGGTGCCGGTCTCCTTCATCTAATGGTCACCACTCATTTTGCTGGGTTTTCAATTTTACATAGTGGAATGACACAGAGAGTGCTCTTTCTGCATGGATCTTTCATTCAACTCTTGTTTATGAGACTGTCCCATGCTGTGTACATAAGTGCATTTGCTCTCATTCTTACTATTTCATGTATCAGGAGTCTTCAACATTTCTGCTAACAATGGACAGTAGAGTTTTTGCTGGTTATCACCTTAATACCTCTAATTACCAAATACACAACTGTTTCCAACTCTGAGAAATTAAAATGGGAAGTTTCCACGATTTTCTTCATGTGTTGGCACCGAAGATTTGTCAGTGAAGAGGAATGGAGAGATAGTACAGCAGAGAAAGATTCTGTTTCTTGGTTCCAAGTCCTACCTCAGGAGGCTTCCACAGTATGTGGACTTTGGCCAGCATCCAGCTCCTGCAATGTGGGAGGAACATTAAACATAAAGGGCTTATGAACTATGACACAGTACTGGAGCAAAATGAATTCATCAGTAAGAAGGACAAGAGATCAAAAGAATGTAAGAACTAGAGATAAAGGGATTAACCACTATCCCTGCGGCTGAGACCGAGAACTGAAGAAAAAATCATTTGTAGCCCTGAAGGGCTGTAACCAGATCTTGCTGGAAAGGACTCCTTGTGCCTCCCTGCATGGACAAAGGTAATGATCTGCTGCTATACCACATGGTTTGAAGAAAAGTAACATACATGATTTTTGTGGTAATCCACCCTCTTTGGGATAAGGAAAGACAGCAATTCATAGGGATACGTTTTATTGCAAGAACTCTGAAAAGAAACTAACCAAGAGGTCCGAGTGAGATTGCTCTCCATGTCATCAAGGCCCTGGGAGCTACGAAAGCAATTCATACTACAGAAGCTGAATCTGCACAAGCAAACAGAGAAATTGTAAACCAATTTCTGAAAATGGTTTTGCTGAAAATGGTATAGCAATTAGCTTGCAGTTCCTGGGAGTGAAGAGCTCGGTGTAATACCAACAGAGACAGACACCAAAGACACCAGGGAGGGAGGAAGTCAAAGACTGCTGAGAACTTTATCCCCTTAGGGTGATTGTAAACTCCTCTCCTGAGCAGAGAGTAGAAGCATCACAGGTGAGGCCAATAGACTATACTGAAATATTTCATCCAATCACTGAACAAATAAAGCAACGTACACAGTACGCACCAAGGGTTGAGAGGAATTGCTTTCAAAGTTGCTACATAAGGTAGGTGTTGTGCTGCGCACTTGTACTTCCTACACCTGGGAGGATGAGTCAGAGCAATCTTGAGATACAACCAAGCTTGGGCTACACATTGACATCCTGTCTCCAAAAACAAACAAGCAAACACAAAAAAGTGGTCTTGTCATTGTATAATATCTAAAAATCTTGATTTTATGAACCAAGAAATTTGAGGCATGCAAAGAAACAGGAATATTAAATCCATAAAAAGGAAAACAGATACCTATGCAACCAAAGTTGTCATTGATGGGG